GGTTCCAAATAAAAATCCATGCTTAGGAGTGGAGATTATACTCCAAATAAATGGAGTATTCAATACCACTTCAAAATAATAAATTACCCAAGTGTCCTAAAGACTAAGAACATATACTTAATCCTCTTGTCCTAGGAGATTAAATTTATAAGATTGTTTTTGAAACATGTTACTCTAACAAAATATTAAGCAATACATAAATACATAATAAAATGTAACAGACCAGTTAAATATATAATAGATAACAGGTTAAATCCTGCTGACCAAGCACAACTTAAGGGGATTATATAATTAAATGCACACAAAAAGAAATATGATTTAACTGACCCATACCATTCTGGTAAATGTTTGTTACTAAAAATTTAAAGAGCTTAATAACCATTACTTGACATCATTACCTTGACACCATAATCTGATTCAAGGTCCTATAACTTTCTGTTTCTTTGATTGTATGTCTTTCTTTTGGGACAGGTAAAAATATTAACAGCATAATAACGACCAAACTGTCCAATTACTAAAACCCTGAAAAGGCAATAATGTGAAGGATAAGAATAATATGAATAAGCATATGAATAAAGAAAAACAGGAACTCAAATTGAGAAAATTCTTTTTGTAAATGGATTTAATGTTTACTGATCCTGTAAGCAAGAAAATATTCTATGGATGCCTTTTCTACTTTTAAAAGTATTAGGTGATTTGAAGAATTTTAATCTTGTAATTCAAATCTTGTAATTTTTAGCAAATATTTTAAAGTGCTTCATTAAGTTTGCAAAGGATCTCTGACTTCCCAACATAGCATTGCCAAGACTGCATTTTGGAAGGCAACCAGGGCTTGCTCTTTTATGGCAATCCTTGACAAGACCACCGAGACCACCGGGTGTGGAATGACCCTTAAAGGAATTATGCTGGGTGGATACCCAGGGAATTGGTTGATTCCAAAGATGAAGGTCAAAGAGAACAAATCAACACAGAACGGATTAAACTGGAAATAAAAAATGGAACATGAGATTCAAAAGCCAAGTTTTACATAATCTTGTTTTATAAGATCACTGCAATATCAAAACCTGAAAAATACACAGAAAATTGTAACCTTACTTATGATTACAGATGCAATCAAATGTTAAGAAATAGAGTTAAGCAGTGATTCAAAAGAATAATGCTCTGACCAGGGTATATTCAGGAATGGAAGAAATCTATCAATATAAACTATCACTCTATGGATTTTTAAATACACTGAAATAAAATCACATGAGTATTCTTAATCTTAAAAAAATCTAATCTCTTATACTCTCTAGTTCATGATGCCACAATGGTGTCATATTTATTTTTCCTTAATCAGAAATACCAAAATCTAATTTTTTAAAAATGGATGAAATTTGTTTTCTATTAATATTCATTTTTGCTAATTCCTTATATTGGCTTAGAGTTTATTCTGTTTGTTGTATAGCTTGATTTGAAGGGTTAAATTTTTTTTCAAAATTTACCAATAGTTAATGTGCCAGAGATATATAAAATGATGAACAAAAACAATGTTCCAGTCAAAAGAATTTTGGCTTCCTATGTATACTAAAAGGTACTAATTTTGCAATGTGTACAGCTTCAGCTACATCACACAAGTTGAATTATGTTGACACCTTAATGTCATTCATTTCTGGATAGTCTATTTTAATTTTTATTTTCTATTTGATCCAGGGCTTAAATAC